TTATTATACCTCATCAACTTACTGTACATATATATCATAGACAGAAAAGACTGGCCAATTGTATAGGAAAACGGACCTCGTAAACCGTTTGATTTTGGATTGAATGTCGATACTTTTTGAACGAAGAAACGGATTATTTTCCAGAACGATACAATTTTCGGCTGAATCATGTTGCTAAATCTCTCTCTCTGTTGTCCATGTAACTTGTTCGTCGATCGACCGAAAAGCGTTGTTTCGCTGTGGCATCCACAACCGATACCAGTGTGAGGTAAATATCCATCCATCCGTCCATGTGTTATATATATATATATATTTATATATATATTTATATATATATATATTTATATATATATATATATTTATATATATATATATATTGCGGAACCGGATGTGGATACACAGTCTTTTTGCTCCTGTCTGTTAGAATAGAACAATCCACTCCTATTTGTTGCAGATACCACACGGTTATCACATTTCCATGGTCTCTCAAGTTACCCATTTTCACGTCTTCGTTTGACCCTTTTGTTCGTAATGAAAAATTATGCTCACCTGTCTTCAGAAAATCCTTTTACTGGTGCTTCAAACCCTCCTGTGATCTATCAAACGTACTGATTTACTACTCTCATGAATCTATAGTTCAGATGAATATTAATATGGTGATTCTTACACAGTTGATTACTGACTATTAATGGTGCTGACATTTTTCTCCACGGATATGCTAACAGATTGCAAGTCCAATACAAATATTATCTACCACTCGTAGTCTGGGCTTGATGAGAAAGAGCGGGAAATCAACACGCAGACACACGCACACAGAAGCGCGTGCACAAGGGGTTCTAACTTTCTGTCCCAACTTGCGCATCATCGCCACTGTCATATATATGCGTCTCTTGCTTCCGGCGTTTTTTTAATCTGCCGTACTCCTGTGATTCCAACGCCATTGTTGTTGCAGTTTGCACGGTCGAGTGCAGCGGATACCACAACCACAAATGAAAAATGATGCAAAATTAGGATTCCCATTGTTGTACTCATCATAAGGTCAATTGGCCACACATACGCACACGCACACACATTTGCGCAGGATGATACAAATACATACATACACACAAACAAACAAGGATGACAATGAGTGTACAAAGGTGGGGGGGGCTGTCGGGTGAGATGAGCAATTAGGGGAGATGGCTCGAAAAGAAATCCGGATTGAATGTGTGAAGAAAGAGAGAACAGCAAAACCCAATCGGTTTACGACCGCATCACAATTGGGGGGAAATGGCTTGATGAACAAGATCCCCAGGCAACCGGGAAGACAAGAGTGTAGTAGCTCCG